CAGAACAGTCAGTGCTGTTAAAAGCTTCCAAGTTGTGCCCATTATATCACACCCTTGCTGTGTTTGTCCTCAGCAGCTCGTAGTCCAGCCACACCTACTCAATTCCTGGATCCTTTTCCAATTCATGCCTTCCTTGGTTATATGTATCTTTGTTCTTTGCTTTGGAAATAGATATTGTCACTGTGTGGTTCCAAACTAACATGATTTACCATTTACATGCAAGTGTAAACTGCCACTTACTGGTCTCTCTGTAGGCTGAAACATCTTTGGCCACTTTTTGGTATTTGTCTGTATTGACACCTAGAGATGCTAGGAAGCAACAGGTCTCCATCTTACAAAAGTTCGTCTGTAGAGCCCGGTTGTCCTCTCCTAGTATGACTTTGTCCTTTCAGTTATTTGTAGAATTTCCCACAGTCATAGGAGTTCTTGAAACTGTGATTGGCAAATCTTGTGAATGTTTTATGGACGCTTGTGGACTCTGGTTATGAAGAGACTGTGACTTTCACGTGTGTGTCACTGGTGTCGTCCTGCCCACTGCCTCTGCACAAGTGGGAGATTTCCATTTCTCATTATTTCCTATTCACTGCCTCTCATCTACTTTCTAATTGATGTGCCTGGTAAAAATTGTATCCAGAACATTTGTAATTAAGATTTTGTGGGGCATTTAATCAAGTGCTTTAATGGGTTTTTGATGCATCACAGCTGCTAAATTTCATTCATAGGCTCATTTTATGAAAATAAAGGGAAGATTTGTTTTGTAGCAACCTACTTACCCACGTCACCATATCTTCTGAAAAGTTCTCAGTGTTACGCCTCTTTTAGGGTTTGTCTTCTTTTTCCCTAAGAGCTGTCATTGCCCTCTGTTCTCAGGTAATACTTTCATCCACGCCTGTGTGCTCTTTCATACCATCCCTTTGCTACACCCCGAGTACTCAGACCGGCCCGGTGACCTTTACCGTGACCCTTTGAGCTTGGTGCCTGCAGAAGATAGACTTCATCATTTCCTCCTGCCCTGTGCTCAGATCTCACCCTCTTTTCCTCCTTCATTCACCTGCAGCATTGACCCTCTGGCTGTTAGATGCGTGGGTTTAAAGCTGGGCATCTTAGAAGCTTTCGTCGCTAGGTGTTTTCCTTCTGACTGGGAGCGAGGAGTGTGCCACACTGTTGAGAGCAAAGGGAAGAAGCAAAGCGGGAAGAATCCGAAGGCCCAGTTACATGGTGTGGTTGGTTCTCCAGGGGCGGTCCTATGTCAGCGTCTCTTTCCATCTCTCTCGGGAGGCCCCCATCGCATCCTGTTTTTACAGAGACAGCAGTCTGACATTTCCTCTTTGGGTTGGGTAGTTAGGGTTGAACTGGCATCGTTAAACAGCGCATCAGTTTGACATGTGGTGGTAAATCGGACTCGGACATTCTTACCCAGCTTTGCTAGGAAGGTTTGGACTGTAATTATACTACATGCTTGAGAAGCTAGTGTTCAGCAGTGGGAAGTTATCTTCCCCCTCATCTTTGTCTTATTTCCGTTGGGCTAACATAGTAAGGGTCGACAGGGATCAGACCCTGGGGTAGAGCTGGGGCTGGTGGTGTGATGATGTCATTTTCTCTGACCCTGTTCAATATATGCAATGGTCTGATAGGCTGTTGAGGCTGTTATATATATTTGAACATTTACTGTGCTATTGTTTGTGGTTAAAATAGAACACAGAGTTGCCTTTTTGAAAAAAAGCTTTATGCTTATTTACTTCATTAATTTATATATTGCTCAGTTTTGAAGTGCAGTCTGACGTTGTCATGGCTACCGTAGTGTTCATTTCTTTCTCATATCAACTGGCTCCTGCAGGTTAGCTGTAAGTGAACTCCTCCACATCTTTTACTTCAGTCCAAAGGAGCAACTCCTGGCAAGGGCATGCTGGTCTCTTTCTGATTTAAAATATTCTCCTTTTACTGTTTTCATGGAAAAAAAAAATTCAGTAGACATGTATGGTGCTGACAATTTTTAAAATCTTTGCCTTTATGAAAAAGCTTCACAGTGGTTTAAAATGTATGTGTCTATATTCACCTTTTCTAAAATGATTTATTAAAAGTACAACTTTGATTGGAAAGATAATTTATCTTGAGAAGTTTAAATGTAACATGGAGTGGACTTGAAGCTCTCAAAACATGTGTGACTTAGAGCACTCCTCAGTGTTTCTGTTTGGCAGACTCCACTGAAGATTGCGAGGTTCCCATCCAAACCCATCATGATTTCCCCAGTACCCATTTCGTTTCTCTCTTGAGATCATAGAATCTCACAACGATGTAGTATTCTCAGATTTTTCCATTTACAAAAACCACATATTTCACAAGAATAGTTTGGCTTTCTTATTCCTCAGCCTGAGGTAAGCTATACAACCCCCCAAAAAAAATTAGTTTAAAAAAAGTGATTTGGTAATAAGTATTATTATATATAAGATATAATTACACAGCAAGTGTTTCAAAAGAACCTTACAGTAGGCATGGCCGATAACAAAGTTTCTCAGTAGAGAAAAAGATAAGCATTTTTAAAAATTGTGGTTAATTTTGTCATCTTAAAATGATATCTTTTTTGTGTGAGGCTGGAGAGAAGCTGAACAGTTACTGAAAACCAGAATGTGTTTATAGTGTCAAAGTATCTTCTCCCATGTTGTTTCTCTGGAGGACAGCACTTCAACTGAGTGGACAGAGTTAATATCATCTGTCGAGGATGAATGTCTGCTCTCTCTGCTGCGGTGCCCGATCTGAATCTAATTACAAGGAAACACCCAATATCCCGAATTGAAGGACAGGCTATAAAGTCACTACACTGAATTCTTTAAAATTTGCAATTTCTAGAAAATTTGAGTTACTTACAGATTCATGTGACATAAGAGCAGTCAGTTTGGATTACAAATTTGAAGGCAAAGTAATTATAAAGGAAATTGTCGGGGCAGTGAATATGAATTTTGGATTAGATAACGGTATTAGATCATTGGTAAATTTCCGTATGAGGCAAGTTTTTTTTATGTTGGAGAACATCCTTGTTTTTAGGAAGTACATTGAGACTTAGATACAGAAGAACAAGAGACCTGCAACTTCTTTTCCTACAGTTTGGGAAATGCATGAAGAGGGAAGGAGGAGTTGAAATAAAGCAGTGGGGTAGGAGATAAACAGTTGAAAGTCTGAGTGGAAGTTAAATGGGAATCATCTGCTATTGCCGAGTTTCTGTGAATTTGAGATTATATCTTAAGAGTTTTACAAAGAACATTCAAAACTGAAAGTGCTTGCTTTGTGGAAAGTTAATATTCTTTCTCACCACATTGGTAACCCTTCAGCTTTGGGCCGTGAGTCCATGTCAGTCAGTTTTCACTTTTTGATCTGGATCTTAAGAAAAATATGTGACCAGAGAACTAGCTTTTTATCTTAAAATAATGAGTGTAATTGAGAAAAGGAGTGGTGCCCCCCAAAGCTAAACAAGATGCAACAATATAATAAGTTATTTTGTGTGGTATGTACTTTAAAACAAGGATTGGCAAATGTTTTCTATGAAGGATCAAATGACAAATTTTGTTTTTAAATTTCTGGGTTATCGTGGGCTATGTCACATATACTCAGCTCTGCTTTTATGGTAGGAAAGAAGCCACAGACTACACGTCCATCAGTGGTGTGGCTGTGTCTCAGTAAAACATTGTTTACAAAAAGAGTTGGAGACTGATTTTGGCGCACAGGCTGCAGCTGACTGAGCACTGATCTAAAATGTAAACTGGGTTTTCTGGTACCAGCTTGCAAAAAACTGTATTGACGGGTTTGGAATTAGGGGAAGATTTCGTAAAGGAACTACATGTCTGTAGTTCATAGACGGCACTACTGTATTAGAAGAGTTGGAGTGTGATGGAGGTGAAGGCCTTAGAGGTATTTGATGAATTTGGCAGGTTTTATATCTCTGATTGCTTGTTTAGGAAATGAAACTAACCAAGTTTCCCCTCTGATTGTGGGGAATCGTGACAGTTATCTTGTCTGGAATGGGACTTCTAACTGGTTCCCAGCATCTCCTGCAGTCTTCTTGACAGCCTCCAGAAAGTCCCTACTGAATTAGAGATTGGATCACATGTGACCATTCATTTGTACTCAGCTTTCACTGAAAGCTCTTCTGACTTCGGGATTCAGACTAGCCACTCAGTTCACCTCTCTCACATCCTGCTTCAGTTCTCTCCATAGTTGGATTGCTGTCTCTGACCTGTTAGAAAATACACAGCCTGAGGCACAGTGTCTGTCTCTTTCTTACACTGGATCCTCGACCGTAGCATACTGCCTTGCAAAGCAGACATTCAGTACTTAGGTGTGGAACTGACATAATGGGTTCATGTCCTAAGATGTCTTACACAGTACCTGACCCATAACTGAGCACTCAGCATATGTAAGCTCAGTCCATTACTAACAAGTTGTGTGGTACACATCCTTCCTTCAACAGAACATCAGAATGAATTGTAAGGCTTCAACATGTCACCTGCAGAAATATCCAAACATCAGAGTCCATGCATTTTAAGAAAAGTTGGCAGAGCAAATTAGAACCAGTATTTGGTTATTCATACAGATTCGTTTGGAAATGAAATGAATAATTAAAAGTTTGTGAACAAATTTTAGTGTCTTTCTTTTGCAGAAGGAATTTGCAAGTGACACAGGCAGCATAACGGAAGTAAAATAACAAATTTACTCATTGACAAGGGTCAGTTACACATAAGCAGGGCCTGGATCAATCCTTGTCGAAGAGTAAATTTGTTTTACTTCCATTCTGCTGCCTCTCTGTGTGTCACTTGCACATTCCTTCTGCAACATTTCTGCAGAGGCTTTGAAGCTGGTAGGTCCAACTTCTTTCCTTCCCCACCATCTGTTAATCAGCTTTAGTGGTAAGATACGCTGTGCCTCTCGGGCAGAGGGGAAAGAAAAGGCTTGGTCCTTTGGGATCTTGACTGAATACTGCAATAAACCAGCTTTCTCTTGGTTTCTAGATGTTCACACAGAGGCTGTTCAAGCAGCTCTTGCTAAACACAAAGAAAGGAAGATGGCAGTGCCCATGCCTTCCAAACGCAGATCCCTTGTTGTACAGACTTCGATGGATGCCTATACGCCTCCAGGTGAGCAATGTGCTTGCTGTTTCTACTTCTTAAACACGATACACATGTTTTAGAATTCACTGCTTGCCCAGCAGCCACTTTCTTTTTAGCTTTCACAGTGGTGGTATGAGTCATGTTTTATGAACAGAAATTCCCAGTTAAATTAAACTGGGAAGGATAATTAACATTACTATGTATGCAAATATTTATTTTAGACTTTTCATCAAGACTGTCATGTATGCATTCTTTGAGAGTCTTATAAAGTGTTCTACGTATAGGAGACTTTGTACCCCTACAGCTCTAACTGAAGTTGTACTTCTGCTTAGACTGTTACATACATACTTTCAAGTCTGTATAACAGCAATACATTGTGGTGTGTTATATAGAATTGGACAATACAGGAAGTTACTTGAATCAGTGTCGTCAAACTTCACCTTTAAAGTACCAGTCATGATTTTACTCTGCAGGCCAGAAAGTCTCTTTCACAAGTACTTGAGTCTGCCATTTCAACTGGAAAGTAGTTATAGATGATAGGTCAGCAAGTGGATGTGGCTCTGTCACAAAACTGTGTCTACAGAACCAGCTGGTAGGCCCGAGTCGGTCCACAGGACTGACAACCCCTGATTAAATGGTTGCAGGGAGTAGCCCATTCATGGTTTTGTTGCTTTAACAAAATACCAGAGGCTGGATACTGTATGAAGAACAGATTTCTTTAGCTCACAGTTCAAGAAGTTAGCCTGCCTTTGGTGGTCTCTAGTGAAGGCCTTCTGGCTATTTCACAGAAAAGCAGATCACGTCATAGTTGGTATGCATGCAAGAGGGATTTGGGAGATGCTAGAGGAGTTTATGTTGTCAGTTTTCCTTTTTGTAATGATTTGGTCCCAAGAACTGTCAGTCCCGTGAGAACTCCTCTAATTCTTTCCTTCATAGAACATGCCCCAATTACCTTGCCCTAGGCCCTGCTGCTTAAAAGTTCTGCCACATTCTGATACTACTGGGGACCAGTCTTTCAACACATGACCCTTTGCGGGACAAACTGGAAGTATAGCAGTTACATAGGACTGCTTTTGTTTAATTTTGAATTCCATATAGCTACAAAACTATTTCACTGTGCACAAATAATTATAAATTATATCTCATTATCTTCAAAACTACCGTGAAAAACATAGAGAAATTATTCAAGCATCTGTTAGGAACTTGAAGAATTATACCTAACTTTTCTTGTTGATTAGTTTATGAAAGTTTTGTTCCAGTATTGCTCATAATCTGGTTTTATTTGCTTTTTGTTGCTAATAACACTACAGAGTAGATGAGTTATAGAAACAATGGCTTATTTTGGCTCACACTTCTGGGCAAAGGTCATATCTGATGGTGGTCTCTATATTAATCAGCTTAACCCCAAATCCCCACTGCCCAATACCTACAATTTAAAAAAGAGGAGAGATTTAATTCGGCTCATGTTTTCAGGGAATTCACTCCATGGTCAGCAGGCCTCAAGGCAGCAACATCATGGAGGCAGGCCATGACACAGCAAGATACTTAGTTCAAGGCAACTGGAAAGCATAGCAGGGGAGCACAGCAAGAGAGAAGAAACAGGGATCAGACATAAGCCCTCAAAGCCACTCCTGTATGACCCATCCAGACCCACCCAGGACAGTGCTCCATCCCCTGGGCAGCTCTAAAAGCCTGTCAAGTTGACCCTTTATGCTGCAGCCTTCTTCCTAGTCCATTCCACAGGGTATCATATCTGGCAAGCATGTGTGTAGATGGTCTCTTCTGGTTTTCTTACTGTTATGAAGCCACCAGGATTTAATCATGGGGGCTCCACCCTAGTGACTTAATTCTTTCTAAAGGTGCCACCTTTTAAGTACCATAGTTGGATTGACTTTCTATCCTCCTAATCCTTTCAATGAGGATTACTTTTAAAACCTGAAACCTCAGGGGAGACACTAAATCATGTCCAGTAACAGCACTGTCATTGTTGTGAGCCTCTCTGGTCTGCAGGCTTGAGTTACCTTGCATGCCACTTGGAACAGATTAAAATCCTACCTTTCCCCAAACAGGAGAAATGTAAGGTGCAGTAAGAATGAACGAAAATGTACATACAGCACTATTTGGAACCTCCTGTATTTTAAAGCTTAGCCTGAGTGTGGAAGATAGGTTATACTTCAAACCAGAGATGTGGCCTGATAAACCACATATATATCGTAGATTTCAAACTCCTAAGTATCCCAATTAAAGTCAGAAGTATGAGCAGTTGAACTCAGGTCCTTTGCACTAAGTTATACCCTCTGTGCTTTTTTTATTAAAAAAATAAATTAGGGCCATGGATTTAGCTCAGTGGTTCCGCCACCTGCCTCACAAGCTCAACGACCCAAATTCAATCCCCAGTACCAAAAAAAAAAAAAAAAAAAAAATTTTTTGAACCCAGTGGGGATTGC